AGCCATATAATATTTCAACACCATTCCACCACCAGTGTCAACTTTTCTCCACCGTAATCTACTTCTGTTCCCCCAGCTTCCCACCTACCATCTTGACCGGCATATTACAATGTTTGGTGGTTGAGGCTTAAGTCTATTTTTACTGTCGTATTTGTTGAGTTTGTGCTTTAGATTATAACTGAACCATTCTCCCACACCACTGGTATAACTAAAGCCCTGGTCCCTGCTCCCCATTACTTCTCTGCCTCTCATCTTCTTCCTTGCCCACTTGATTTCTTTCCTTGCATCTTATCCCTAAGCTCTGTGTTCAAGGGTGACCTGGGCATTCCTCTTTTTATTATATTACATTTCTTCATATAGTTTTTCTATATACCATATAAATGAGACTGCTCTCACAGGATTCATCTTGCATGTATACTGCAAGGATAAGTGATCATGTTCTACATGATTCAGCACTCACATCATAAACCCAGTCAGTGTAACTTAGAATTTGCCCAAGGAATCATAGCTTAAATCTTTGAACAGTAGGGAGTTGGGGTTTCTGTATCTATGTATTCAAAGATAAGATGTAGGAAAGATGAATAAACCATATTTTGAGGTTTTATTTGTGTTATAAATTAGTTAATTGTGTGACTTCAGAGTTTTTCAGCTAATGATTATTCTGTCATAAAACAACCCTATACTTAGTGACTTATAGTCATAGTTTGTCCTCTGATCTAACTGTGCTTAATTCAGTATTTACCACTTTTGGTCTCTGAAAAGTGGTTATAGTAAAATGGATCTCAAGTTCTGAGTTAGCTGATCAAAATGCGTCTTGAATGAAGGGCATTTGATTTTGGATGCCATTTGGAATCTCAGAAAGCGATGTTAATTGTTAATTTTTCCATGTGGCTTATGCCATAGTAGTTACATAGGGTGTCTATGATCTAGTCTTAGATGTTCCTGAAGTCCACTCTGCCGCATTCTGTTGCTCATCAAAGATAACGTATTTCATAGGAGGTAAGACTTCATCTTTTGCTGTGAATAGCTGCGAATAGCAAGATGAGTGTACAGGGAGGGAAGGGAATGATGGAAGCCTTCTTCAGCGAATTGTTTGCTCTTGTTCTGCAGGTGCTTAGAATTCTTCATTTCCAAAGTTAACCAAGACTGGATAATATTTAAAAGATCTTAAAAAACTGACTTTCTGGCTTTTTGTATTCTAGATGAATGAATTTATAAGTTACCTTCTCTACAGAAACTTTTCAGTATGTTACGGATGGATTTGCTTGCTTTCTTTGATTCCATCATGCAGGTCTTGTGTGTATGTCTTATGTGTACATACTAGCAATTATATACTGGTATCATCTATGAAAAGTAAAGAAAAAAAGTAAAGGCCCTCCCATTGATCATCGATTTGCTCCAGTAGGCCCAGTAACGTCTCCATTGGAGACTTTGTTGTTACTGTGTTTGGCATATCGAATACGTCACGGGGAACTTGCCAGGCTCTGCCGTGCGGGCGAGATACTCTCGGTAGCTTGCCGGGCTCTCCGAGAGGGGCGGAGGAATCGAACTCGGGTTGGCCATGTTGGCTGCTTGCAAGGCAAACACCCTACCGCTGTGCTATCGCTCAATCCTTGATATTTGTTGTTTTAGGGGCCATACCCAGTAGTAGGCCATACCCAGGTTTATTCCTGGCTGTTCACTCAGGGAGCACTCTTGGCAGGTTCTGGGGACCATATGTGGTAATGGGGTTGAACTCAGATTGTCTACATGCAAGGCAATGCTTTAGCCACTGTGTACTATTGCTCTGACCTGATCCTGGAGATTTTAATCTAAAATTTTAAATACAGGAGAGAAGTGCTATAAATCTTGGCCTAAATTATTTTGGTATGGATTAAACATTAAAAAATTCTATATTCCTTCTAGAACTGAATTGTCTAGATTCTATTTCATAAATGTCCACTATTGATAAAATTTTCACTGTTTTAAACATTTTATTTTGCTACATATGTATGTGTGTATAGATAGATAGATAGATAGATAGATAGATAGATAGATAGATACACACAAGTATATATTCTCTCCCTCTCTTCCCCCTCTCCCTCCCTTTCTCCTTCCCTCCCTCCCATCCTCTCTCCTTAGCCCTCTAAGGTACAGCTCTAGAGACTCAGGGCCAATCCTACTGATAATTAGCAAACCACCACATATGTATAAGCACTAGGGTTTTGCAGTCTCAGATGTCACACCCTGGTTGTGCTTGAAGGTCTGCAGAACTACGGCCGGCAGTGCTAGGGGTTAGGACAGGCAGTGCCAGGGATGAATGAGATTCCATGCATGCAAAAAAAATGCCCCAACCTGTGCTAGTTTCCAGGCTTCAAATGATGTATCTTATAAAATACTATCTTTATATCTCATTTTATTATTTTGTTGTACCACTTCTGAAGCTTAATGTGTGTGTATGTGTGTGTCAACATAAACATCCATTTTGTTCTGCACTGACATTGATATTTAAAATACAGTGAGTGTCTAGCACATTGCTTTCACATTCTTGGGCTTCGTTGGTAATAATGGCATTTCTGCATAGAGTTCAATCCTAAAGGTTTGTGATAGTTACGTGGGTAGAGTCACAACTCCAAAACAATCTTAGCTACATCTTCTTGGCTGTTACCCCTGGAAACTTGACCCTCCACAGTAGTCTGGGCAGAAAGACTTGCCTTTCTGCATCAGCTCCAACCACACTTTTAAAAATTATTACCTCTGTTAGATTTTGAAAGGATTTTGGACTTCTCTTTCAAAAAATTTAATGTGACTCTTACTAAGAAAACAGTAAAACTAATGGGCTTGTCAGCAGAGGTAATGACAACTAGCTCATAGTGAACTTATTTAAAAATACCAATAAGATGTTCCTGACTTTTCCTTTCTTAGCAAATATCCCAAACAAACTCCTTAATATGTAAGACTGTATTGGAATTTGATTTATTTTTTAACCAATTCCTTTACAGAACTTCAACCAGCAAGATAGATTGCTCTTATTTTTGCAGTTTTGGTCATGTGATTTGAGATTTTGCTGATCACCCTTTCTAAGCAATGAATGTTGCAATTGGAAAACCATAGTTTAAACTCATGTTTGCCTGTCTCTAGATAATCATTGTTTCATTGTCTTATTTTCTGCTATGCCTTCAAAGAATTTCGTACTCCTCTCTATGCGTGGAACAAATTATAATTACTCCCAAACAGTGAGAAAAAATAAAAATAAAAAATTATTAAAGAGTGTGTTATGAATTTCAGGCAAAGAGTTTGAGATTACTTTGAGTAATTTAATTTGAGAATGCAGTTTTCTAAGGATTCTATTATGCTATATTATTTTAAAAATATTTTAAAAGGAGACTAAGCAATCAATATTTATGTAATTATCCAGTTAATTTTCTTCTTAATGGAGCGATAGCACAGCGGGTAGGGCGTTTGCCTTGCACGCAGCCAACATGGCCCACCCGAGTTCGATTCCTCCGCCCCTCTCGGAGAGCCCGGCAAGCTACCGAGAGTATTCGATATGCCAGACACAGTAACAACAAAGTCTCCAATGGAGACGTTACTGGGCCCGCTCGAGCAAATCGACGATCAACGGGAGGGCATTTACTTTACTTTACTTACTTTATATTACTTAATGACTTAGTATAGAATCCTGTCAATGTGAATTGCTGTAATTTTTTCATTTATTTAATACAATTATTTCAATATAAATGTAAGACAGATAATCTGTTATATATATATTTTTTCCTTTTGTTAATAATCGATGAGATGGGAATGAGGAAAGTAATGATGCATTCACAATAAGGAAAAATATTTTGTAGTCATTTTAAAGGTTTGAAAAAATGAATGTATTTATTTTTACCTTTAACTATATACTTATCTTATACTTCTAATGGATTGAGTTTTCTGCATCTAAAATTTGGAGCTAGAAAATATTTAAATAGGAAGTTGTTAAACTCTGATGAGCCCAATACTTTCGTACCATAACAAAAAAATAAATTAAATTAAATAAAGTAGTAATAATGACAATGGAATATGGTTTATTTACTATAAAAGATTATACATTTAAGATACCTTGAGGATATAAAAAACTATAAATAAAATAGCTAATTTTCTTTGCTTTGTCAAAATTTTTCAGTAAACATGACTTCACTTTTCATTGTAGTTTTATTTACAAAGTACATAATACACGTAATATAATGATTATTTTCCACATAGATTGTTTGAAACTTGTGCAGGATTTCATTAATGTGTACCTTCTCAAGCTTCCAATTGCACTTTTTTTTTTGATTTTTTGGGTCACACCCTGTTATGCACAGGGATTACTCCTGGCTCATGCTCTCAGAAGTTACTCCTGGCGGCGCTCAGGGGACCATATGGGATGCTGGGATTTGATCCCGGGTTGGCCGCGTGCAAGGCAAATGCCCTACCCACTGTGCTCTCTCCAGCCCCCAATTGCACTTTGATGCATTTAGATATTTAATTAATAAGTGACTGATATGCCCAAAGTTTATTTCTTCTGTCAAAACTGCAAAATTTCTTGGTGTTTTTCTTATTATGTTAATACTTTCATTTATTGTAATGGTAGTGTAAAATTGAGCTGTATAATTGAAAACTGGTCAGACATTTATATAGCATATAGTAATTTTATGCATGTTATATTACACATTTAATTGCAGTAGAGAGTATTGCATTCTAAATTTTGGTGAAGTGGCAAGCCAAAACAGTTATAATAGTAAACATTTGCTAGAAATGAAGTTTAACATTATCACTGAAATATGTTTATATGATATGTAAAAATGTGTTCCTTTTTGATAACTACTGTTTTTCTGTTTCTTTTTCCTTTTTCTTTTTTATAATTTGCTGCTTGCCATTGCAGGAAGTAGAGGTTTGTATTCCGCTTTTGTATTTCTATTTAATTTTAGAATTTATATGAATCTTCATTTCATAGTCACTCATATACACTCAACTCAAATTTTTTTCTGCCTTAGGATGATTATTTCCGCACTTGGAATCCAGGAAAGGCCTTTGATCAGGGTAAGAATCTAATTATTTTTAAATGACAATCTTTATATTTATAATCACCATATTTAAATTTATATTTATTGTCTGGTAAAATTTTAAATACTAAAGAGGACAGATTAGATAAATGAAAAAATGTGATAATTGCTTACAGTTTAGAAAAATAGAAAGCATTCGGCATTATGGTTTTGTCAGGAAGCCTAAATTTAGATAATCTTAGACAACAGAGTTGGGATTTGAAGGTACTGTTCCCATGTTTGCTTATAGATCCAAATCACTTTATCAAGTGGACCTACTAGGAAATTAATGTGTGCCAAATATCAAAACAAATGATCACTTTTCACTCAATATATGGGGGGAGGGGAGAGAGAGAGAGAGAGAGGAAGAGAAAGAGAGAGAGAGAGAGAGAGAGAGAGAGAGAGAGAGAGAGAGATCAAAAGTACCTGCCAAAGAGGAGAGTGGGAGGTGATGGGAGCAAACCTGGGGACACTGGTGCTAGGAAGGGGACACAGGTGCTAGGAAGGGGACACTGGTGGAAGGATGGAGGGATGGTTGTTGGGATAATACATGACTGAAATCTAATCATGAACAGCTTTGTAAAGGTCTAACAGTAGTTCAATAAAAAAATTTAAATAAAATAAAAAAATAAATAAAAATAAAATGTAGCAGATTAAGGGGTCAAGGATATGTCCTAAAGAGATGGAACATATCCCTGGCATGTGAGAGCCCCCAGACCTTAGAACCAGGTGGCACATTCCCATACTCGAACCTACGTGACTGGAGCTCTGGTGACCACAATACCAGGGACACTGAGCACCCCTAGAGGCCCAGGCACTGAAGCTGGGAGCTAGTGTTACTGGGAGAGGCCCTGAACTCCACCCTCGCCCCTGCCAGGTACTGCATATGAACCTTTAAAAAAGTAAGAGAATGAATAAAATGCAGTAGATTGGTATTAGATTCACGGGGCTCTCAGAAGACCCCAAAGGTAGGTCATATAAAATTAAGATTCTGACACTGCTGCCCACAGTGCTTCTTATTTGATTAGTTACCTAAAATGTGTGTGTGGAACGGGAGCAGAAAGGGGAAAATGCTATTTCTATATATGCTATGAGAAGAGAAGAATCAGAATCTATGCTGTGATACTTAGATAAATAATTCAGCATATTTGTTTGTTAAGCTGAACAATGGTGGACTTAGGGTCTTAAAATTTACAACAGAGGAAATATCTCTCTTAGCAGTAATAATCTTTGGAAATATGTGACTATGTGAAGGTGCGCCGCTTAAACATAGAAATCGCTTTTAAAAAACGGTTATACTGTTATTCTGGGTATTAGTTTTGTCTTCCAAAATGATGACTTCATATTGAGGATGACTGACTGTGACAATAGCCAAAAGCTCTCAGTGAGATCCAGTCTGGATGAATTTAGGAGCTGCTGTAAATAATATTAACTGTTGTTTGGAACAGTCATTCATAGGCCATCCTGTCGTGCATACTGGTTTCTTTCTTCTGTATTTAGTAACATCTCACCATTGTTATTCAATGGCTTTATTTATCACTTAATCACTTAACTTCCCGTTAGTCGTCGATTTGCTCGAGCGGGCGCCAGTAACGTCTCCATTTGTCCCTGTCGCGTGCTAGTGTAGCCCAATGGCATCTCTTCGCTCCGGGAACATGGAGGGCCTCAAACCGATCGTTCATGACCTTGACAAAGAAGTCTGACCATCTGGTAGGTGGGCGGCCACGCGGTCTCTTGACATCCCGTGGAATCCAATCAGTAACAGCTCTAGTCCAACGGTCGTCTTTAAATCTCATTACGTGACCAGCCCATCTGATTTTCGACACCTTGGCAAATGAGACAGCGTCCCTGATCCTTGATCGTCGACGGATGTCAGAACTCCGGATTCGTTCTCTCATTTGAGTGAAACGTGATATTCCAAGCATAGCTCTTTCTATTCTTCTTTGGGAGACCTGAATGGCGTTCTCATCTTGTTTGCGTAGGGCCCAGGTCTCTGAGGCATATGTTAATGCAGGAAGAACAGTGGAATCAAAGAGATGTGCCCGGAGCCGGAGGTTCTTCGTCCTCTTAGCTATTTCTTCGACGTTCTTGAAGGCGTTCCAAGCCGCTCTCTTCCTCCTGCGCAGCTCGGGTGCCAGGTCATTTGTCATGTTGACCTCTCGACCTAGGTACACATAGCTGTTGCATTCGGAGATGGTCATTCCATTGAGAGCGAATGGGGCGTCAGGAACAAGGCTGTTTCTCATAAACATTGTCTTCGTAAGATTCAGCTGTAGTCCTACCTTTCCACACTCACGGTCAAAGTCGGCCAGCATTTGTGCCGCTTGGCTGATGTTTGGTGTTATTAAAACAATGTCATCAGCAAAGCGGAGGTGGTGTAGTTGCCGACCATCTATCTTCACTCCCATTCCTTCCCATTCCAGTCGTCGCATGATGTTCTCGAGGGTGGCACTGAAGAGTTTTGGTGAAATGGTATCACCCTGCCGCACCCCTCTCTTGACATCAACGATCACTTCTTTGTAGAATGGTGAGATCCTGGTAGTGAATCCGCAATACAGCTCACGGAGGATCCTGATGTATTGGGCTTGAATGCCCTGATTGGCTAGGGCTTCAATGACCGCTTCCGTCTCAACAGAATCAAAGGCCTTCTTTAAATCAATGAACGTTAAGCAGAGCGGCATCTTGAACTCCCGAGAAACCTCAATGAGTTTGGTTATCGTGTGGATATGGTCGATGGTGCTGAATCCTTTGCGGAACCCTGCTTGCTCACATGGTTGTCCTTCATCTAGTGTTCTGCCAATCCTATTCAGGATGACTCGAGTGAACAACTTGTAGATGACAGACAATAGGCAGATCGGGCGATAGTTGCCAATGTCATGGATGTCTCCCTTCTTGAACAGTAGTACGGTCCTGCTGGTTTTCCATTGAGATGGAACCTTGCATTCAGACAGGTAGCGAGTGAAGAGCCGAGCCAGTGTATTGATGAGTACTGACGGCAGGTTCTTCAGGTGTTCAGGTCTGACCTTGTCTGGGCCGGGTGCTGTTTGCTTCTTTACTGACGAAATGGCGTGTCGGATTTCGGAAGGGAGAACGTTGGGAACGACATACCCATCCTGTGGAATTTGGTATGTCGGCAAGTGGACATGGCTATCGAAGAGATTTGAGTAGAAGTCATGGATAATCTTCTCCATTGCCATTCTGGAGGATGTGATGGATCCATCAGGACGTCGGAGGGCAGTCATCTTGGTCTTATAGTTGGCGAAGGACAGGCGGGCGTTACGAATACTTTTCCCGGCTTCTGCCGCATCTACCAGTACTTCTGCTCTTCTCTCTTTGAGGTCTTCCTTGATCGCATCTCTGCACTGCTTTGCAAGCTCGGACGTTAGCTTGCGGTTGCCTGAGGCATGCGCCAAACCACGCTGGCGAATTAGCTCAAGAGTTTTCGAAGATAGGCGACTTTTTGTGGCTATCTCTTTTTTCTGATATCAGCTGGTTCTTGAGGCAAGGTGAATGCTTTAGTGGAACCCAGAGGCTTTAGGGGGTGCAGGGTTCGAGTATGAGTGGGTGATCGTGTGGCTCCCCTTTGCCCACCATCGCCTCTTGCTCCACGATCTGTCAGCGGCGGGTGGGCGTGGGGCTGAGGGGTGGCCTGAGTGCGGAGCCTACGGGACTTGCATAGAGCACGGCCTGGCTATCCCGACCCTCCCTGCACGGGACATCGCTTTGCCCTGATCCGGAGCCTTTGGCGCAGGCATCACATGTGTAAAACCTTCAGATTCACTTCAAGGGGCAGGGCCTAAGACCCCTGCACTAGCAGATCCAGTTGTAGTCTCTGTTTTGATTGATTGCTGTGATGTGGTGGGGCCACACGGTGGTTTGTTCCCTGCCGGAGGGTGGGGTTTTAAAAGAAACTTTTTCATTATTATTGTTTTGGTTTGCCTTGTGTACCACATCCGGAGATGCTTAGGGTTTACTTTTGGCTCTGAACCCAGGAATTCCTGATGGTGGTACTCAGTGACCATATGGGATGTGAGGAATGATCTGGCTTGGCTGCATGCAAGGCAATTTCCCTGCCTGCTTCACTGTCTCTGATCGCAACTTTTTTGGGTTTTTTCTACATCAAGAATTTTTGCTTCCTAAGGTCCAGTTGCAAAGCATGCCACACTTACGATTTCTCAAGTGTTTGTATTTATTGCCGAATTCATGCAGGAAAGAAGCCTCATATAAGTAAATAATGTGGAAACGTCTTTATTGAATCCTCAGGCCTTACTAGGCCTATGAGAATGAATAGTGGAGAGAAAATTTTATGTATGTAATGAATGTGAACAGGGCTTCATGGACCTTCAAGCTTTAGTGAACTTTGTAAAATTTATACTGGATGAGTTGATCCCCTATTAACGATCTATAAGGTCAGAATCTACCCAGATAAATATCCCACTGGCAGACTTCCACTCTCGACACTACTTCCACTACCCAGCCGTCGCCACACTCCAGGACGCTTTCCAGACCCGCGCGACAGCTCCGGCCGAGACCCACGCACAACTGAAGACCCACAGAACAAGGTAAGCGGAACTCTCTGAGACCTTGGACTCCAGGCTCGGCGGACCCAGGGACAGAGCTTCTCTGCTTGCTCCCACCACCACAGGTGACAAAGGGATTCTAATTAGGAGCCCCACCCTACCCTGCCCTGTCTGCTTCCATCAACCACCCAGGGATCGAATTGTGCACAGGAGACCCACCCTACCCAGATAAATATCCCACTGGCAGACTTCCACTCTCGACACTACTTCCACTACCCAGCTGTCGCCACACTCCAGGACGCTTTCCGGACCCGCGCGGCCGCAAGCGGCCGCGCGACACATCATAATACACTAAATACCCGTCTTCTGGAATTGTCGTACCATATTTGATAGGGTTCAAATATGGTAACACCTACAAGGGTGATTAGAGGTCACCCCAAAAGCCTCTATACCTCTCGGAAAGACTGGCAAGCTACCG